CAGAAGTGTTTTTTTTTTCCAGATTGAGCGAAAAACCTAGGACTAGTTTTCAAATGTAGTTTTTTTTTACATCTTCTCAATCATTTAAAAATCAATTTGATTGACAGCAGTGGTTCTAGAGGCAAAGTTGTCCGGAATGAGTTGTTCTATCATATGATATGAATATTGTGCGTATGTGTGAAAAACTGCGCGACGTACAATCGTTTACGCCCTTGAAAAATGCAATACTGCCCCCCCCAGTGGCCGATTTCTTTCAAATTTCTCTCAGACCTTTGGGGCCATGAGTCGAACAGGCACACCAATTTTCGTTCCAATCATGTTTTTTGAAATATGCAAATGTCCTTGTAGACACTTGTGGCACATTGGACCAAGACCGTGCACACTGATTTTCATGTTGATAGGACAAATGGTAGCGCAGTTATAGCAATTTTTATGTTTTTTCCTCTTATTGTGCCACCAAGTGGCCAAGCTCCGTGATTTTTATTTGTTTTTTTCCATGTGACCTCAGATTGAGCTCTTACATAAGTGTTCTGAGTTTGACGAAGATATCTCATTCGGCATTTTACTAAAAGTGGCCCTGCTCCTTTATAACTTTTTGCCACCCCTTTGTGACGGTGAGTCAAAAGTTTAACTTTTTTTTTGATAATTATTGATATTCACTCTCCAGAGAATCTTTCTGCACTGGTTTGGTTCCGATCGGATGAAAAACCTAGGACTAGTTCGCAAAAGTAGGTTTTTCAAAAAATTCGAAATACGACATAAGACGCTTGACTGACGGTTTAGGAGTTATCGTTTTCGTACTTTCGATCGCTGTAGCGCCCCCGTCAGGCCGATTGGGGCGAGCTTTGGTCACATTGTAGGCGATGTGAGTACTACCATCCCTCCAAGTTTCAAGTCTCTACGACTTACGGTTTGGTCTGCACGGTCCGTTTTACGTGGAGATCGCTGATTCGTGACCATTCTTACAATTACAATAGGGTTTCAGTGCTACACGCTTGAACCCCTAAACAACACACAAACAACGATAGATGAAGTAAGAAGTAATTAAACTAAAAGTTAATAAGTGACTTTCTACAAGGACTTTGAATCAATTCCTTCATGCTGAGTCATTCTCTTACAGTTAATGTTCAAGCATAACTATTTAATGAATACATTTTTGTCAGGGCAGTTTCGATGTGTGTGACTAAACACACTGAGATACCCTGCAGACATGAGCCTCAAATCCATGAGATTCCCAGGAAATGAAAAGGAGAATTAAGTGTTATTTTAACATTTTCATCATCCACCTTCAGCATTTCATCACATACTGACAAAAAAACGGCTTTAATTGTGTGCGTCTCCATCATTCATAGTCTCTAAATGTTCACAGATGAGTTATATGAGTTATATGTTTCATAGTTGATCTGTCTGTTCCTCATAAACGTCACAGCAATATTTGGAAGATGCAGAGAAGTGAAACTAAGCAAAAATACGTTTGCGCTCTCCAAACTGCCATTTTATTAGTCATGCCATTAACAGACGTGGTTTTTCAGTTTCAGAACATTTGTTTGTTCGATTGACAAAGACTGCTAAGACTAAACACACAGAAAAAGCGGTTCATCTCGACCAACGAGACCTAATTAAGAACACTGTCTCAAAAAAAAAAATACAAAGAGCTGTAGAACTGGTTTTTGGAACATAGTAGCAGGGTTAATTCAGTTTAACTCTAACCAGCCTGGTAAAGATGCTTAACCAGGGGAAACTACATCGATGAGGTCTAGACCAGCCTGGATCAGAAACTGGATTTTGGATCGAACTGAATGAAAGCCTTACATTCTGCCAAATTAGACATTTCCACATATTCGGAAATGTTGTGCAATCCAGTGCATGTCATCATTTCCCGCATCAGCTTTTCACCTCCTTATTCTGACAAACACACTTTTGACAAACTAGCTGTAAAACAAACTCGTATATGTACATACACAGCACTCTCATTATATACAGAATACATAACCAAAACAAACTGGATTTATAAAGTCCTGACTGCTTTCAGTCTTTCTAAAGAGACCAAATTCACAGTTTAGGAGAACATTGTGATTAGAAAGCATCCCAGATGACAGAGTCCAAGAAGCTGAGTGAAAAAGCCAGATATGAGCATATGAAGTAGTTTATTGTTTTGTTTATTGAGTTTACTGAATAATCTTAGCTTTCTTCTTTCATTCTCTTCTCTTCTCTTTCTTTGTCTTTCCACAACATTGTCAGTAATTTGTATTTTCTATTGAATGAAATAAAAATAAATTATTATATGATTACACAACATAATAAAATTAAAATAATTGATAAAATAATTATAAATGAATGAATGCATTAAAAAGTAATAATATAAAACACAGAAAATAATGTTCTCAAAACGTTAGCACAAAAGTGGTATAGAGTCATTAATTATTGACTTTATTGATTTTAAGGTATATTGTTAATGCACTCAATCAATCAATCAATAAAAAAAACTAATGATAAATAAATAAAAATGTAAGATTTTAAAGAACTGCATATAACATTTTTGTCCCTTTAAACAAATAAATAAATGCATTACAAAAAAAGATTAATATTTGCACATTTTTGCAAATATCTGTCAGTCATACATAAATGAAACCGGTCAGATTTCCATAATCATGCTATAATAAACATTAAATAAATTGTAAAATAACAATAACCATCTTTATATATTTATCATCAATAAATAGTTTCTAACTAAATGGATATTGCTTGTTCCGCAACTAGGCATATTTTAATCATGTTCATACTTTTAACCCAATAAATGTAATTGTTTTCACAATTAACAGATCTATGCTGATTCTAATCTGAATAAATGCATTTTGAAAATATGCTTATTAAATAAAATCAAATAAATGCAAATAGTTAATAATAGACTACACTGTTATTTTTAAATGCAGAAATCTGGCCTGGTTGACCGACAAATATGCATGAAATTAAGTTTATTAGTTTATGTTAAAACTGCCCAAATAATTTAAATTTTATATGCAATTCAAATATATCAATCTTATATTTAGGTGTGAGTCTGAGTCATATTCACTGATAAGGAGTGTGTTTATCAGACTCTGATATTATGATAAACAAACTAATATTATTGACTAATAAAAAATGGTTTTAATATTTCATCCAGTATATTAATTAAGAAATACCTGATGAGATGATGAAAATGTGGATAACAGGGTTGATGTGTGTGTGAAATACATCCATTGACCGCTGGGTGTCAGTGTTGCTCCATCAGTGTGAAACTTCCAACAGCGTCATATTCTGTGAATTTAAAAAGAGAAATAAACCTCAGAAAGCAGCAGATGACCAATAAGATGTACTGATACCACTCGAGAATTTTTTTTTCTGCTGGAATGTCATTTCCACCGAATCTCCAATTATGCATTTTGCTTGATAACTCTGCATGGTGCAAACGACACATTTTTGGATTAAAAAAAATGGAATAGAATGATTTCACAGCTGGCATTTTACTGTCTTAAAACATCATATATCTTAAATACTATTTTCACAGTTTTTGCATATTTTTAGTTTTAATAAAAATAAACCCTTGGGTATAAATGAGCCTGTAAGATACCCATTAATGCAACCACATGATTAATGTATGTGAGAACTAAAGCTACTTTTATCTGCATTACTGACTTTTTCTTGAATTAGATCCTCAGTCAAGAAGCTGTGTGACACCTGTAGAGATCTGACTGCCAGCATTCACATTAATCTCAATAGCAGCTGCTGAAGAACACGAGAAAGTCTCATGGGCATTCAGTTCTGGTGCTGGCTTGTTTTCAGTTTCCAGCTGTAAATGTCATGTGACTGGCAGCTTGCTTTCACTACAGGATAAAAACTGAAAAAGGTAATTACGACTTCTTATCTCACGATTTGGCCCTTTTTTAGAATTGTGAGATGTAAAGTCAGAACTGCAAGATATAAAATTAGAATTGTTGAAATTGTGTTGAAATGTTGGAATTGTGAGATATAAAGTTGGAATTGCAAGGTATAAATTTGAGAATTGTGAGATGTAAAGTCGAAATTGAGAGATGTAAAGTTCAAATTGTGAGATATGAAGTCGGAATTTCAAGGTATATAGTTGGAATTGCAATATATAAAGTCGGAAATTGTGAGATGTAAAGTCAGAATTGTGACATGTAAAGTCGGAATTGTGAGATATGAAGTCGGAATTTCAAGGTATATAGTTGGAATTGCAATATATAAAGTCGGAAATTGTGAGATGTAAAGTCAGAATTGTGACATGTAAAGTCGGAATTGTGATGTAAAGTCTGAATTGTGAGATATGAAGTCGCAATTGCAAGATATAAAGTCGGAATTGTGAGATATGAAGTTGCAATTGCAAGATATAAAGTCGGAATTGTGATGTAAAGTCGGAATTGTGAGATATGAAGTCGGAATTATGAGATATGAAGTTGCAATTGCAAGATATAAAGTCGGAATTGTGATGTAAAGTCTGAATTGTGATGTAAAGTCGGAATTGTGAGATATGAAGTCAGAATTGCAAGACATAAAGTCGGAATTGTTGAAATTGTGTCAGAATTATGTTGAAATGTTGGAATTGTGAGATATAAAGTTGGAATTGCAAGGTATAAATTCGAGAATTGTGAGATGTAAAGTCGAAATTGTGAGATATGAAGTCGGAATTTCAAGGTATATAGTTGGAATTGCAAGATATAAACTCGGAAATTGTGAGATGTAAAGTCAGAATTGTGACATGTAAAGTCGGAATTGTGATGTAAAGTCTGAATTGTGAGATATGAAGTCGGAATTGTGAGATATGAAGTCGCAATTGCAAGATATAAAGTCGGAATTGTGAGATATGAAGTTGCAATTGCAAGATATAAAGTCGGAATTGTGATATGAAGTCGGAATTGTGAGATATGAAGTCGCAATTGTGAGATATAAAGTCGGAATTGTGAGATGTAAAGTCGGAATTGTGATGTAAAGTCGGAATTGTGATATATGAAGTCAGAATTGTTGAAATTGTGTCAGAAATGTGTTGAAATGTTGGAATTGTGAGATATAAAGTTGGAATTGCAAGGTATAAATTTGAGAATTGTGAGATGTAAAGTCGAAATTGAGAGATGTAAAGTTCAAATTGTGAGATATGAAGTCGGAATTTCAAGGTATATAGTTGGAATTGCAAGATATAAAGTCGGAAATTGTGAGATGTAAAGTCAGCATTGTGACATGTAAAGTCGGAATTGTGAGATGTAAAGTCTAAATTGTGAGATATGAAGTCGGAATTGCAAGGCATAAAGTTGGAATTGCAAGGTATAAATTCGGAATTGTGAGATGTAAAGTCCAAATTGTGAGATATGAAGTCGGAATTGCAAGTTATAAAGTCGGAATTGTGAGATATGAAGTTAGATTTGCGTGACGTAAAGTTGGAATTGTGAGAAGTAAAGAAAGAATTGTGAGATGTAAAGTTGGAATTGTGAGAAGTCAGAACTGCAAGATATGAAGTCAGAATTGTGAGATATAAAATTGTAATTGTGAGTTTTAAACTCGGAATTGCAAGATATAAAGTTGGAATTGTGGAATTTTAAACTCGGAATTGCAAGATATAAAGTCAGTATTGTGAGATATAAAGTCAGAATTGTGAGATTATTATTATTAACCTTTATTTAACCAGGCAAGTCACTTAAAAACATGTTCTAATTTTCAACAACAATCTGGCAGAAGTATTAAAATCTCCTGGAGGACATACAAACAATTTCAAATTGTAAGATATAAAGTCAGAATCGTGAGATATAAAGTCGGAAATGTGAGATTGAATGTATGTTTGCATGTCCTCCAGGAGATTTTAATTCTTCTGCCAGGTTGTTGAAAATTATACACACACAACAGCAAAAAATAAAATAAAACAAAACAGGATATAAATCAAGATGCAGACACATTTCCAAGATATATAAACAGCATTTCTATGTAGTTTCCACCATTGTCATTTCCTTCGCATAATGCTATTCATGCAATAATAATAATGTGAGATAGTGTAAATTGACACTGGTGGGAATTTCATTACTTCCAGGAAAAAAATGACAGATTTCTCCTGTGGTGCATGATTATGTTCACAGAGAATGAGAGGTTGAAATGTAAAAACACTTGTATTTGAAACACTCCATCATTAAATGGGAGGTTTGATCCGTTACTGATGCATTGAGTCTGGATGACTGTAATCACTCAGATAACCAGGCATTGATGACAGGTGCGTGATCTTCACCCTACGCTCCTGATGCGGATCAACCCGTCCAGAAATCCCCTGTTCCTTCCCAACTGGAGATCCGTGGGTGACTCAGGGTTGAGGAAAATCTGCCAAATGTCAAGGGTTGACGTCTAAATTGGTACAGAGGCCCAGGTCTGCGGGGGCTGAGAAATGCAGCGGAGAAAATGACATTTGAAGCCCAAACTAGGAGGCAGTCATCTGTGCAGACAGCCTTCATCGGCTCCATCGTGAGCTAATGGCCACCTGTCTGCCTGCCTGCAGCGAGAAGGGATCGTGAGACTGTAAATAGACTCTTCAGACAAACATCAACCCCAAACTTACCTGTGAACGTCCTCTTTAACTCAAACTAACAACCCAAATCACAGCTTAACCATACCTGGACATACAGTACTGTGCTGGGCAAAACTGCACTATAATGTTGTGCGTAATGATTTTCCACATTCTAGTGATCAGTCACATATGGACAGTGTTGGGGGTAATGCATTACAAGTAACGCGCGTTACGTAATCAGATTACTTTTTTCGAGTAACTAGTAAAGTAACGCATTACTTTTTAATTTAGAAGAAAATATCTGAGTTACGTTTTCAAATAAGTAACGCCAGTTACTTTTATTTCCCATTTATTGATTGAAAGCTCTCCTGTCCCCATGTTGAGAGAAATCGGGAGTAAGATGTTACTTTAGTTCTAGAATAAATGTGAACATGCATTAATTCATCTCACTCACTCACAAAAAAAAAATCAGATTTAGTTTTCCTCAAAATGAATAAAAACAGTTAAACGCAACTCAGAATATGACTCAAAGCTGCAATAATTAAATATGTTAAATAATACAAATATCCTTTATGTATTTAATCCCATTTTATTAACCAATTTGCTGCTGACCTTCAGTGATCCAATTCAATCATACTAATAAGAAAAAATTACACAAGATAAACTAACATTTCTTCTTCTTTGTTTATTGCCTGAAGAGTGTTGAACTTTCTTCTTCTGTGTTCTTCTGTACAGACGTGAATTTACATTTCCTTCAGCCTCAGGCTTTTGGTGTGAAAGGGCTTTTATATTTGCCAAAAATAAAACTTTTTATATTAAAAGCAAACAAGCAAGCACTGCCCAGATTTAAAAAGTAACGCAAAAGTAACGTAACGCATTACTTTCAGTAAAAAGTAAAAAAGTAACATAATTAGTTACTTTTTTAGGAAGTAACAATATTGTAATGCATTACTTTTAAAAGTAACTTTCTCCAACACTGCATATGGAAGCCTGTTTCTGCTTATATACAAAAACAAAAACGATAATTGCAACTTTTTATCTTACAATTCGGACTTTTCTTTCCCGCAATTCTGAAATTTCTAGTTTAAAAAAAGTCTTGAGTTCATATCTCACAATTCTAAGTTTATGTCACATATTATTTTCTGAGTTTATATCACACTATCTTTATATCTTGCGATTCTGTTTTTTGGTTTCTTCCATGGAATACTAAAAAAAGGTAGTTGTAACTTATTATTTTGCAACAATGAGTTTTTCCTCACAATAAATGAGGAAAGTTTGTATAAACAAGTTTATATCTCGCAATTCTTACTTTATAATATCTTACAATTCTTACTTCAAATTTTGGAATTATGCGTTTCTTTTTTCTCAATTGCAAGTTTACAGCTCGCAATTCTGACTTTATAATATCTCATAATTCTGACTGTATATCTCAATTTTTGAGTTTATATCTCACAATTCTGAGCATTATTTCTCACAATTGCAAGTTTACAGCTCACAATTCTGACTTTATAATATCTCATAATTCTGACTTTATATCTCAATTTTTGAGTTTATATCTCACAATTCTGAGTATTATGTCTCACAATTGCAAGTTTACAGCTCACAATTCTGACTTAATATCCCACAATTCTGACTTTATATTTTTGGAATTATGCGTTTCTTTTTTCACAATTGCAAGTTTGCAGCTCACAATTCTGACTATACATATCTCGATTTTTGAGTTTATATCTCACTGAGTAATTCTGAGTATTATTTCTCACAATTACAAGTTTCTATAATTCTGACTTTATATCTTGCAATCCTGAGTTTATATCTCGAAATTCTGTGTTTATACTTTGGAGTTTTTTCCCCCCTCACAATTGCAATTCTTACTTTATAATATCTCGCAATTCTGACTTTATATTGTGGCATTATGAGTTTCTTTTTTCACAATTTAAAGTTTACAGCTCACAATGTCGACTTTATATCGTGAGTATTTTTCTCACAATTACAAGTTTACATCTCACAGTTCTGACTTTATAATATCTTGCAATACTGATTTTATATCTCACAATTCTGATTTTTTTTTCTCACAATTGCAAGTTTATGTCTCACAATTCTGACTTTTTAATTAGGGGTGTGCGATGTTGACCAAAAATAATATCTCTATATTTTCTGTGATTTTATCGATTACGATAATTAGACGGTATTTTGCTGAGTGTGTTATTGTGCTGGTATCTTGAACTGACTCCTAAAGTTTTTGATATTCTTCATATTCTTATGGGCAGTTTTACCTTTTATAAAGCCATTTTCTTTCTGAGAGTGTCCATTATCTTTTGAGTCAAATTCTTAAATTTAATAAGTGAATTAGATAATGCAGAGGAAACACAGAAGCTGCATCTGAAGTGGCATTTAGATGTGTTTACACACAGTTTAATGCAGGACATGAATGCATTTAACCTGCAGTTACAAATGCATAAATAATGTTTTGATATATTAAACATAAAACGTTGAATACTGATATTTGAAATTATTTAAATAATAAAAAGACACTGCGACACACACCGTCATGTTGCTCAGACACACAAAACTGTGCTGTGGCTTTGTTTGGAATTATTTTTGTTGGTGAAATAAGAGGAAAAACAGCCAAAATGGTGTCTAAAACGTAAGTATCTTAATTAACTTCTTGTTTATTGAACTGTCGTAAAAAAAAAAACAATATCACATTTGTAATCATGGTAATTTTTGGAGAAAAAAACGGCACTCTTTGTGTGAAATTGATTAACTGATCACTCTGTAGGGCTGTTTTGAATGGTTTTTGCAAAATACTCGATAATGTCAAATCGCACATCGTTAAAACAACAATTACGATATTATCGCAGACGATATGTATCGCACACCCCTACTTCTTATCTTGCAATTCTAACTTTTTTATCTTGCGATTCTGACTTTATATTTCGGAATTATTAGCTTTTTTCACAATTGCAAGTTTACAGCTTAGAATTTTGACTTTATATCTTGCAAATTCATCTTTGAAAATACTAAAAAGGATGGTATGCCTGCTGAAAAAAAACAGCCTATGGAACAGATCTGCTGGTCTCAGCTGGTTTAGCCATATCTGAGCCTGATCAGAGGACGCAAAACCCTCTAAAACCATCAAACCACGCCAGTATAACCAGCTTGATTGGGAGCCCAGCTAACAACTTTACTCTGGTTTAAACTGTTTTATTCAGCAAGGCTCTGAGAAGAGTACTGATGATCACTCTAACAGTTACGTATACAGCCACGAGAGTGGAGTTACACACGTCAAAATCATTGAAAAGGCTTGTGTGTTCATTGAAAAGCGTCCATGCTGTGAACAAACAGTGAATCAGACACACACTGACCACTTTTCTCTAGTCTGTTCTTCAAAATATAATCATATGAGTTGAGCTGAAGTGCACTTCTAAGCAATGACATTTTCTGTCAAATGTCAACCAGAGACGTCTCACAGGTCACTCGCCAAAGCAGATGCTGGCAGAATAACAAAATGACCTGCTACTGCGCAAAAACTGCAGGAGAGAGTTCATCTCATATTCCTGACATTCATTATTCCCTGACATGATGTTCTTAATGCATCAAATGCTTGAAATGCTCACCTGATAACCCGGCTTGACATAAAGAACATAAATTATTGTGTGGACTGGGTCCTAAGATCTGAGGACAAAGACTGCAGATTAGAAGAGAGAAAACTGTTTTCATGCTCTTAAGAGGCTGCAAAAGAAAAACAGTCACTGGTCAATGAAACATTTGTGATTATTACATTAATTTTGAATGACCGTCAATGGAGAAAGATGCTCTTTCACAGCATAATGGAGCAATTATGAGAGTCAACCCAACTAACTAACTAACACATGACCATCATCCTGGGTTAAAAATGTCTGAAATCATATATATTAGTGATGCACTAAAATTATTTTCTTACTGAAACTGAAACTAGAGTTTTCATTTAGCAGAACATTTTAAATGTATAACATTTAATAATCAAATAGGCAACGCCTAAATAAAAACTTGCATATAAACATTTAAATTGCACAGTTTAATAAATATGTTTCGACTCCAAATTTGTGTTGAAATAATAAAAAAAGAAGGAAGAAAAAAAAAACAGGCAGATTTATTTACACATATTAAATAAGACATGACTAATAGGTTAAGTAAAATAATAATAATAATAATAATAATAATAATAATAATAATTCAATACATAATAATAATAATAATAATTATATATATATATATATATATATATATATATTGCTAGTAAATTTCACAAATAATTGCAAAGAAACAGCATGTGACACATTGAATTAAACGTGAAATTTTTTTACACCTACTGGAATTTTTATGTCAAGTCAGCTTTATCAGAACGTTCTTCACAATACAACACCCCACTCAGCAAAGCAAAGGAGACTGAAGCAAGGAAAAACTGCAGCTGTCCTGATAATTGAGATTCTCCCAGCAGTTTATTCCTCAAGACAAGCCAAACAACAGCATTTGAGATCTATTTTCCTCCACAAACACCCTCCAGTGCATCTTGCGCTCAAGTGTTTATTATGTTGGAGCGTTTGGACCTCAGAGAGACGCTCATGTTCAAGCCGACTGGCAACAGATTCTCACGGATGGAGTGCTCGTCTCCAGATCTACTGCTCATTTCTATGCAAAACATCTCCACAAGCTTCCAAACTGTGCGACGGACCACAATTACGCTGGAACACAAAGTGGGCAAAAATACAAGCAAGTGATTGATGTTTGATGATTAGCTGATGTAGTGATAGAGACTGTACGGAACATACTTTGGTTTTATTAATGCAAATTAATCAAGTTACAAATGCATGCATATGAGAAAAAACACAGCCCTCTTGATTGTTTCTCATAAGCGTTAATGAGATTAAAAGGAAAGCAAATTGAGACTTTTACTGGAGTCCTCTGATGTTTCTTTTAAGAACTATATTTAATAGTTTAAGCAAACGTTTCCGTTAAGTTCTGAAAGTGTCATTTTTTAATCTTCTTTTAAATGTTTAAAAAAAATTCTAGGTTTTGTGACTGTTAAGGGAACGTCCCATTGTATCATTTTGTAAACATTATGAGAATGTTACTTTTGAATGTTCTCTGAATGTTCCAAAAAAAACAAGTAAAAAGCTTCAGATGAGCATTCAAATAAAACGTTTCAGAAAAAAAGTTTGTAACATTTTGAGAACATTACTATAGACCAGATAACTTTCAATAATCATTATATTAACTCTAACATTTTTTCAGCTCTGAGAGAACCGTGCCAGAACGTTCCCTGTTTGCTGGGATGTGTCTCCTTCTGAGTTTGAGATCTCAACGATTGCCTCAAACTGTGCTCAGATTTGCTCAAGATGCCAACGTCTGCAAAAGTCGGAGATCTCAGTATGAACTCAAACTTCTTTTAAGATCAAATGATCTGAGCTGTTATTCACATTCATTTTTTAGCTCTATACCAATTATTGACTCGTTTTAGGTTTGTTTTTATTCCTCCTGAAGAATTTTAGGAGAACACCCAAGACTTACTGAATTCCTCTGAGCTACAAATGAGCAACATCTGTTGCAATGTTGTTGGCAGGGATTGTGTGTTTTTTTTAATGTTACGACTCGTTTCAGAACGTTCAAAGAACATTCAAAAATAACGTTCCCTTAATGTCCGCAAAAAAAACAATAAAACAGAATGTTTTCGTAACACCAAGAAAATAATATTTTTAAAAATAGATCATTCAGAGAACATAACATTTTCATAACCTAAAGGGAACGTTAGAAAAACCTTTTTTTAGCGTATTTTTGTTGCCAAAAAACACGACAGTGTGCATTCTGACAAAATAAACATTTGCAAGCATATAACATAAAACACAAACATTTCACTAGAACTTAGACCATGTTTTACCAGTGAGGCTTGTTTAGTTATTTTTTAGAAGTGTTTAGCGTTTTTGGTAGGCCTATACATTAAGAAAAACAGAAACACCATATAATCTAGAATCTCACACATAGCAGCATACAACAAAACACACTGACCCTGGCCTGGAGGAAGAGATTCCTTACATGTATCGGGATGATGAACGGCTGTGAGGCCGGAACGCTTCCTCTGGAGGGGATAGAGATGCCAGAGTAATGGAAGACCGCGGCCAGAGCTTCTCCCTCAGGCTAATGGGCCAGAAAGCCACAGTCTCATTTTTAACAGACCTTTTGTCGCCTCGCTTCGGGCTCCTTGAGGAAACAAATAATGACTCCTCGGCTCACCCTAACGATCCACATCAACGGATCTGGAACGTTCCTTCACGTGTAAAGCTGATCCGCACGAACGGCTCGTGACTGATTCATGAGGTTCAAACTGTGGCGTTTAGAGCGCTGATGTGCATGAACAAAGGATGAAAAACGTTCACGTTAAAGATGATTCGCAGCTTATTCACATTTATGGGAAGTTACACTGCGAGCAGCTTGATACGGAACTGGTGTGAAGTTTAGTTTGAATAAATCTGCAAGCAGAACACACACAAACACACACGTTTGTTTCTGTGAATTGTAGGGACTTTCCATAGACTACTTTTACATTTATACTGACCAAACGATATTTTCTATCCCCTAACCCTAAACCTAGCCCTTACAGGAAACCTGTCAGCATTCTTATACTTTCAGATAAACATCATTTACTATTTTTAATCATTTTTCCCTTATGAGTACCGCAGGCCAGTCCCCACAATGTCAAAAATTTCAGGTTTTACTATCCTTATTACTTATTACTATACTAGCACACACACACACACACACACACACACACACACTTGAATCCTCCAGCGTTTGGTTGGTGTGCGGTCGTCTTCATGACCCTCATTCAACATGCACTTCTGTGCAGAACTTCAAAAAGATAAAGGGGAGAAGTACCATGGCGCCTGCGGCAGAAACCAGCCCAACATCCTGCATAAATTCCCTTTGATGTGCAACTCTGATCAGAACCAGATACTAATCCTGCAGCCGGCCCACTCTCCGTTTGCTACTGATTATGTAATAAATAACGAACTGCCACTGAGATGAATGGGAACGCTAACGGACGGATTACTGATTGAGTTTAGTCCCAGCTAACAGGGAACGTTCCCACAACTTCCACTAATGTTTTTTTTTTTTAAGTTATATAAATGGTAAGACAAAATAACCCGATCTCATGAAAGTACATTTCAGTGGCACGGTTTTCGGTTTCTATTAGGCGTACTATTTATACGCAAAATGGACTTTGGCGTGCATATGATACGCAATTGGTAGGTTTAGGGTTTTGGGGTAGATGCGTATTATATGTACGCCAACATAGTGGCTATCATATGCATGCAAAAACTGCGTATTGTATGCGCGTCAAACACGTACGTATCGTATGCACGCTAAAGTCAGTTTCTGTGTATAAGTAGCACGTAAAAAAAAAATCATGCTATTGATACGCATTTTCATGCAAAATGTCCTTTTGATGTTATTTGCACTTGATGAACGTAACAAGATTTTTTTTTTTTGTAACCTTTAAATCACATTCTAATCACGACAAGAAACATTGGACATTTTAACGTTCTTAAAATGTTACAAATAAACATCCAATAAGGTTATATTTTGGGTGAAAAATTAGTAGAACGTTGTAAGAAACATTTTAGGAAAATGAAAACAAAACAAAAAAAAGACATTTAAACATTCTTATAATATTAGAAATAAACATTCAATAGTGCTATATTTTGGGTGAAAATAAAGTTAGTAGAACATTGTTAGAAATGTTTTTGTAACCTGTTAATAACATTTAAATCACGACAAGAACCATTTCTATTGCTTGTTTATTCATTTAATTTATTTATTTTGTATAAAGCAGCCTCTCAGTGACTTACATTTTTGTTGTCTATGATAAAGCCTTAATATTACGAAAATACCACAGCTAACAAAAATATGATGTTCTAAAAACATTCTAATAATGTTTTCATTCAGTTAATTTTTCAGGTTTCAGAATTTTCGTTTTTGGATGAACTACCCCTTTAAGTAATGAAGTATAAATTAGAATAAAATGTGGAAACAGAAAAATACATCGAAATGAAATTAAATCAATCAATCAAATTACGGTAACAGGCAACTGTGTTGGCAAAAGTTTCACATTGACTCACACTGATTTCAGCAACTCTGAGTTTCCAGCTTGTACTGTAAACTCAACTTTGCTTGGTCATTCCTGCGGTCGGACCTCATAAATTCAATATTTCGGACTCCACACCAGTCTGCATCAGTATTCATTAAAACAGAAGCTTCTTTTCGACACCTTCACAGCGAGTCAGGAACCCGTCGAGTAATTTTGCTTAACTTATTCCTGCTTACCAGACTTCCATCTATTCTCTTTTAATGAAAGCACCCAAATATTATTGCCTCGGCGTCTGTGATTATCCGACTGTGTCAAGCTCCGTGATAGATATCTAATGATCAGTGAGTATAATCTTCACAGAGCTGCTGTTATCTTGGTTCACTTCACGTCACCGCGCACATTATACTGCCGGTTTGCAACACAAATCTTTCAGGATTCTAGGCTAATGGGGCATCTGGGATATTACAAACCAGCAGACATACAGTCATCATCTCCGTCAGTCATGCAAAGCTCCACAGGTGATGGAAAATCCAATCAGGCTCTCGACAGCGATATAAGAGGCATCTGTGAAATGAATAAGGTCAAAATGCAGTTCCTGTGGGAGATCTCTTATTAATCGTAATGAAAGTTCAAGCCCTGTGTCTAATATGGTTAAGCAGCCAGCGTCTTTTTTACGTGTATATCATTCATCGTTCGTTTAAGACGCCAGTGGCCTACTATTAATAATCATCAACAAGTGTTTAAAGTGATTTCAGAGTAATGCGGTTAGTTACCGGTATCCCTGTGTTAACGTAGTGGTCATTTTCCTTCCATTTCTGTTAAAAACAAACAAAATATGTCAGTAAATATGTTAATAGATTTAAACTATACATGGTATGAAATAAATAATTTAAATATATTACTTTTTTACTAGAGCAGCCTTTTAAAATCTGGTGATAAATCTGTTATTATGCAATATTATCACCAAATATTGGATTCAATCTTTTTATCACCTTTTTTCTTCTTCTTTCAATTAGCACACGTTTTGTATTTCTTTTTGAACTGACTGAACACAGGTCTCACTGATCTGAGCTTATGCACCTCAGTTTTTAAATGAAAAAGCAGGTAAGTTTGGCAGTATTATTTATTGATTGATTGATTGATTTAAAAATCACTATTTGTGGGTAATTTTGTCAATTCTCAGTTTTTGGGTTAAAAAAATGCACTATTTGTGGATAATTTTGGCAATTCTTGGTTTTTGGATAAAAAAAAATCACTATTTGTGGATAATTTTGGCAATTCTTGGTTTTTGGGTAAAAAAAATGCACTATTTGTGGATAATTTGGGCAATTCTTGGTTTTTGGGTAAAAAAATCACTATTTGTGGATAATTTTGTCAATTCTTGGTTTTTGGATTAAAAAAAAAACTATTTGTGGATAATTTTGGCAATTCTTGGTTTTTGGATAAAAAAAATAACTATTTGTGGATAATTTTGGCAATTGTTGGTTTTTGGATTAAAAAAAATGCACTATTTGCGGATAATTTTGGCAATTCTTGGTTTTTGGGTAAAAAAAATCACTATTTGTGGATAATTTTGGCAACTCTTGGTTTTTGGATAAAACAAAATCACTATTTGTGGATCATTTTGGCAATTCTTGGTTTTTAGATTAAAAAAAATGTACTATTTGTGGATAATTTTGGCAACTCTTGGTTTTTGGATAAAACAAAATCACTATTTGTGGATCATTTTGGCAATTCTTGGTTTTTAGATTAAAAAAAATGTACTATTTGTGGATAATTTTGGCAACTCTTGGTTTTTGGATAAAACAAAATCACTATTTGTGGATCATTTTGGCAATTCTTGGTTTTTAGATTAAAAAAAATGTACTATTTGTGGATAATTTTGGCAACTCTTGGTTTTTGGATAAAACAAAATCACTATTTGTGGATCATTTTGGCAATTCTTGGTTTTTAGATTAAAAAAAATGTACTATTTGTGGATAATTTTGGCAACTCTTGGTTTTTGGATAAAACAAAATCACTATTTGTGGATCATTTTGGCAATTCTTGGTTTTTAGATTAAAAAAAATGTACTATTTGTGGATAATTTTGGCAACTCTTGGTTTTTGGATAAAACAAAATCACTATTTGTGGATCATTTTGGCAATTCTTGGTTTTTGGATAAAACAAAATCAATATTTGTGGATAATTTTCGCAATTCTAGGTTTTTGGATAAAAAAAAAATCACTATTTGTGGATCATTTTGGCAATTCTTGGTTTTTGGATAAAAAAAAATCACTATTTGTGGATAATTTTGGCAATTCTTGGTTTTTGGATAAAAAAATACTATTTGTGGATAATTTTGGCAATTTTTGGTTTTTGGATAAAAAAAAATATGCACTATTTGTGGATAATTTTGGCAATTCTTTGGTTTTGGATAAAAAAAAATCACTATTTGTGGATAATTTTGGCAATTCTTGGTTTTTGGATAAAAAAAAATGCACTATTTGTGGATAATTTTGGCAATTCTCAGTTTTTGGGTTAACTGAAAGAAAACAAGTTGACAAAAAGATTGAATCTAATATTTGGTAATAATATAGCATAATGAGAAATTTATAAGCAATGTTTTTGTAGGTCATTTTTGATCAGGAACACCACAAGTATAACAAGGTGGGGGAAAAGTACAAAACTTATAAACTGGAACTTTTTTATACCCTGTCTTGTACAATGTGATAACAAGGTCAAGGTCAAAATAACTGAACACAACATGATGGTTAAATAAGGTTTAGGGTGAACTAGGTGGTTTCCGAACCTGACCAGGCTCGTTTTAAGCCAGTTTAATCCAGTTTCTGGTCCTCTAAGGTCAGCCAACATCTAAACATTTCTTTAGATGATTAAAATGTTCTTCACACTTAGAAAACAATATATTTATTTCACTCATAAATAACTAAATAAAAAAGGCTCCATGAAGAAACGTTAACATCCATGGAATGTTTCCATTGCACAAAAGGTGCTTTATAGTGGTTCTTTAGAATAGATTATTAAAATGTTATTCGCACAAAGAAAACATGGTTCATTTAAGAACTGATCAATGAAAGGTTCTTTGGGGAACCAAAAATGTTTTTTTTATTGCATCGCTGCAAAAAAAACTCCCTTCTGGAATCTTTAAAGGCAGCAGATCTGAAGCAATCTGGCTGGGAATCACTGATGCTGTAGTTTAATCAGACTGTGTATA